TTAATTTCTTTCTATTTTTAGTAGAGACGGGGTCTCGCTCTTGCTCAGGCTGGTCTCGAACTCCTGAGCTCAAACGATCCGCCCGCCTCAGCCTCCCAGAGTGCTAGGATTACAGGCGTGAGCCACCGCGCCCGGCCAAGCACAATATATTTTAAGCCAATTTTTCTAAGGCTTAAAAACATACAAAAATACTGATGCAATTCATGTGAGATATAAATATACACAAAAGGCAACTACAGGATAATGGAAATATTAGAGAATTATACCACAATAAAAAGTCTGTCCAGCACACTATAGAGGAGTCAAGATATATAAACATTAAGTAGGCATCATCAGTTCTGACAAATCAAATCATCCAACTCATCTTAGAAATATAAAAAATGAACAACATAAACATATGTCAATAGTAAACATACATATACTATTTCACTTTGGACAGCCATTAGTTTTTAAAAAAAAAATAAATTACTGAACTAAAACATAATTTAAAGAAAAGAAAGGTGACATACACAATTCCCCAATAGATGACTTTTTTTTTTGAGACAGTGTATTGCCCTGTCACCCCAGCCAGAGTGCAGTGACGGGATCATAGCTCACTGTAACCTCAAATTCCTGGGCTCAGAAAATCTTCCTGTCTCAGGCTCTCGAGTAGTTGGGATTACAAGTGTACGTCACCACGTCCGGCTAATTTTTCTATTTTTTGTAGGGAAGGGGTCTCACTCTTGCTGAGGCTGGTCTTGAATTCCTGACCTCAAATGATCCTCCCGCCTCAGCCTCCCAAAGTGTTAGGATTACAGGCATGAGCCCTTCTGTCCAGCCAGATGATATTTCTTATGGGCATCAAAAGACATTAAAGGTTTAAGGCATTTCTATCAACTTGACCTCTTTTTGTCATTTTCTTTCAGGCAAGAATAATTTTGAAGAGATGTATCAGTTCATTATTTTAACCAAGCTTTTAGGTTAGGAACTATATATGATAACTGGAACTCTTCCCAAAAATGTGCCAAAAGTTCCACGTACCACTGATTTAGGCTACAAATTCTACACACTTGATTTACTTCATACATACAAACATATACACACACGTGCACACACACAGATTGCATCCTCAGTTTAGACATTACAAGCTATAATCTGGCATCTGCCACTATTTCTTTAAAGTTCCTAACTTTGGGACAGGGACAGGGAGAGGGAGACAGAGAGGGAGACAGAAAGAGAGGATGGGGGCC